TTGCGATATGGTGCGGTACGTTGTAGCCTGAACGTGTATCTACTGGATCGCGATTAGCGGAAGGTTAATGAAAGCTTCAGACGCGTGTTCGTTTCCTACTTCTAACCGAGAGAGTCGAAAAAAATTGCTTTTTCTTTCTCTCGCTCTCTGTTATTATGTAAAATAATTATACCCCGTGGAACGCACACGGATAGTGGCGCGATATTTGTTTTACACTAGGGGAATTCCTTTTTCATAAAATTTCCGATTTTCCCCGTGTTTCTTCTCTTTCCCGATGCGAACGATATAAAAACGAAATTTCCCCCCGTTTTTCTTCTTTTCGGAAATACCGCGTCGCGTCACCCGTCTCGACGAATGTCATTATTATTTTGGCAACCTATCTCTCCCGTCCGTCTCGACATTCCAATTTCGGCGGATCGAGTTTACCAGGCGACGGATATTAAAACTAAACGCGATAACGCGCGGTTGAGTAACACCGGCGAGATTCGGGCTGGAATCGGGCGTGCATTGGTAACACGATTAAATACCGGGGCTGTATTTTGCAACATGACCCAGCTACCGGCAAATCTAGTTAACGCAACTCCCCTTCTTTGTCTATATTACAAGTAGAAGCGCATAGCAGAGAACGAATTGGTAGAACTAGTTAACCCGGTTTCTCTCTGTGCGACCGCGTTGCGGAAGAGTGCCGAAACGTCGCGAGTGTCGTTTGACCCGGACAAAGTTCCTAACGGATATATTTGACCTACAAAAAATTTTCACGGAAATATGCTTTCAATAATGTATCACTCCCCCTTCGTTCCCTCCCATGATTCAATAATAACGATACTCTTAGAGACTAACTCTCTCTTAGAGACCAACACATAAAAGTACTCCCAACATTTTAAAACTCAAGACTCAAGGCTCTCTTGAGAGCCTGGAGATTATTGAATAAATAACAAGAGAGAAAAAACAAAACGCGCAGTCTTTTTACATGGTGGATAATGTTAACAAAAATAAACTTTTATTACTTTACGAAACTGTAACGAATAAAAGCAACCTGATAATTTTGAAACAACACAGTTATTCGATTCTCTTATCGCTCCGGGATCTTCCAAGAGCTGAAGTACTTCCGCCACTTAAGACCGCCACTTTTTTCCCATGGGATAAGTCTGGTGAAAAAATTAATAGGATCTGACAATGTTAAAAATGCGACGCTCGAATAAATATGTGCGCCAACCAGGGCGGTATTCGCATCACTTAGAGCTTACTAAGCACTTTATAAATGGAAAGATGAATTACGTTTTTAGATTGCATTTTTAGATTGAAACTGTTTCATCAAATAGTAAATACGAATGGTGGACGAAGCCAAAAAAGGTAGAACTAATCCGACTAGAAATTTCGATCAGGTTCATCTAACATTGATAAGGACATAATAGGGTGAATGAAAGGTAATCCTAAGTAAGTCAGTCCTTATAATGTCCTAACGACAAGTAAAGAAGACCTTTATAAGGTTATAATGATTGGGTCCACATTAGGACCTTATTGTAACAATCTAGTGTATGATATAATATGATTCAGTTAATCAGGTCCTTGTCGGGATCTTATTCATTGTACCTAATATAATTTACATTATCAAGTTTTAACAAAACAATTTTTGGCTGTCATTTCCAAATATAAAGATGTTTGCATTGAAAAAACACTTCAGATCACTTGAATGCATTTGTAAAATGCTATAGAAACTATCCTCTTTTTAGCAGTCAATAAATAGTTGTAAAATTAACAACGTGACATGCAACCTTTCTCTTTAACACTATTTTATGTCTTGTCACCTTGTGATATTTTATGATATTCATTTTATGTTTCTTTTCCGAAACATTTTACAAGTATGCTCAAGCGATCTAAAATATTATTTCATGCAAATATCTTTTCATTTGGAAATGACATGAAAGAATTTTCAGCGTGTCATTTCTTATTTCTAATGTCATCATCCAATATAGCCGTGACGAGTAATCAGGAGCCATAATTTGAAAAAAAAAAAAACGTAATAAGGATTTCATAAGATAACTCAATAAGGATCTGACTATGAATCCTACTTACTAAGGTCCTGACGTCCACGCTGCGTTACATGACTTACTAGGACCCGATAGTATTACCTTATTGGGACCTGATGTCCAAATGAGGTTAACCTGATCGGGACCATGGGATACATTTCTAGTCGGGAATTGGAGAATAGCTCGTTCGCCCAATTTTTAAGATTTAATCAACTATGTGAAAAGAATATACTGCATCGATTATTTTCACCGGGTTTTCGGGACGATCGTATTTTATAAGGTAAATCAGACACGTAGTATGTGTGATAAGAATACATTTTCTTACATAATATTTAACTATTCCTGACTCTAGAAAATGTTAATATACTGCCGGGTACGACATTTATTTGTGGTCTCTTGTCCGCATTTCCTCTCGCTGTGCGTTTCTCCGGTTTCTTTTTCTACCGCGAGGATTATAAATACCACTGTTAATTAGGAGGATATCATTAGGTACACACATCTGGTCGTGTGGACCGAGCCTGATTGCGACGCGAACACTTCGCAGTCGATCTCGCGGAGAGATCACCGATTCGAATTCGTGGGTGTCATTTCCAAATATAAAGATGTTTGCATTGAAAAGACACTTCAGATCACTTGAATGTATTTGTAAAATGCTATAGAAACTATCCTTTTTTTAGCAGTCACTAAATAGTTGTAAACTACTCAACGCTGCTCACCGGACCACATTGTGCACTGGATGAGAGAATGAGAGAAAGAGAGAGAGAGAGAGAGAGAGAGAGAGAGAGAAAGGTAGAGAGACAAAGCGTCGTTCATTGTAGGCACGGCCCACAAGAGCGTCATGACGAACGAAAAGCTGCTGGTATTTTTGCGTTAATCGTCTCGCATCGGGTTTCTCGCGTGTCAGACGCGTCAGGAGAAGCATAAAGGGTAGATTATACAGGCGCAGATAGAGAAAAGCAATCGAGATCGACAGAATTCGGCGCTGATATCGGCGCCAGACGCAATTTCCACCGTCGTGTCAGCCACACTCTTTCGCGTTTCCTCGCGAAACCGGTGCCGCGCGGGCAGAAGCGAAGCGTGGCCGACGCGAGGCGCGCACGTCTCGTATCGCGCGGCTCGGGTGCAAATAAATTTTCCCGAATGCGAAACCCAATATGCGCGCGAAGCTAACGAAAGCTCCCGCCGGTGTATCCGCCGCACGCCCGCGCCCGCGCCCGCGCCGGTCATCGATCCAGCCGCCCCGTGTATCTCTCGTTTCGGCTGACTTTCGACGCCGGCCGCGTTCGCGTTATTATTCCGCAAGCCCGGTAATAACCAAATTAACGCTATACACGAATTTCCGATACGGCTCACGTAGTTGTGTGTACGCTCGCGCTCGCTCGCGCGCGGCTTGCCGGGCGACGTAAGCGTAAGCGCCTCGAACTTCGGTATCGCGAGTTCGCCTCGAGCGATCGACAGGGCTTTGGTCCCCACCGTCGTTACTCTCTCTCCCTCCCTCCCTCTCTCTCTCTCTCTCTCTCTCTCGCTCTCTCTCTCTTTCTCGCCCTCTCTCTCTCTCTCTCTCGCCCTCTCGCCCTCCTTTCTCGCCGTCCTCGTCTATGGCAACACGGACGGGGTAAGTGAGTTTGGGTCAGCGTTCAAGGAACTCGAAGAGCACTATCCACTAGCCCGGTCTGCGCAGCCCTGTGTGAGTCGTATACCGACGCGTGGAAGCTCGTGCGCGACCAACGGATAAGTTCCTAACGACCCTTCACCTCGGTGCCACCGGTGCCGGTTGCATGTGCGACGAGCCGGTCGTGTTGCATGTGCAACAGTTCGCGGGATTCTCAGTGCTGTTACCGGACCGCGAATGCGTCGGGCGTTTAATAAAAAGGGGAAATGGAAGGGGAGAGGAGGAGGGGATGAAAAGCGACGTCTCGTAACTGCGGCAATCTTCAGCAAGACGTAACTCGATGGGATCTTTACGGGACGCGTATGAGAACGTGAGCTCGCGCCGCGACCTGCCGGACCTCCGTTTATCCGCGGAGAAACGAGAAGATCATTACGCCGCGAAGTGTGGTATTCGAGCCCGCATTCGACGAAATTATGCTGGTTTCAATCGCCCGTTCGACGGTTTATATCCGACAATCGCCGGGCGCGCGCGGCGTCGAGTTACTCTAATTGCATATGCGAGCGCCGAGCGCTTCGTTAGCGTCGCCCCTGCTTTCTTTTTTCCTTTAATTAATGAAGTAATTCCCTACTGGATTGGCTGGAAAAACTGTACGTGCGCGCGCGCGCGCATGCCCACGACCGTAATGAACGATTGGTTGCGTCTGATTCCGACAGCTTGATGAATCGATTCGAAAATCGAGGTCGAGATGAAACGGAAATCCACACAGTCGTCTCGTCCGTCTTGTTAATAATTATTCTATTTGTCCGTAATAAATTTTCATTCTCATTTAACATTTATTACCGTCTCGCGCGGTATCGTTCTGGTTCTGTCGCGTTACAGCATATAATATAATAGCTAGAGAGAGAGAGAGAGAGAGAGAGAGAGAGAGAGAGAGAGACAGACAGACAGAGAGAAAAAAAGAGAAAGAGAGAAAGAGAGAGAAAGAGCGATTGATCGATCCGCCGGGGAGTCGATTGCTCCTCGAGCGAAGCATCGAAGGAGGTCACTTTTGATTCGTCGACAATTTTCAATATTCGACAATACCCGCATCCTTATAACCGAGCCACAAACGAACGAACGAACGAACGAATGGACGAACGGACGAACGAACGAACGAACGAACGAACGAACGAACGAACGAACGAACGAACGAACGAACGAACGAACGAACGAACGAACGAACGAACGAACGAACGAACGAACGAGTGAACGAACGAGTGAACGAACACCCTATCGAAGCGAAGCCCGCGTCCCGTCAAAAGAAGAACGAAGCCTCGAAGCGTTCCCTCATAGAACCTGTTCCCGTTATTCGGTTACAGAGCTCAACTCGACGTCCCCGTCGACCAGCGAGCTCGGCGAGCTCATCGACGAGGTCGAGAGCGGCGAGGCGAACGCCGACGCCGAGGACGACGAAGACGCGGTCGAGGACATCCTTTACATGCGCGGCGCTACTTTCACGATACATCTGGATGGTCCGGCCGAAAATTCCAGCAGGAACGCGACGAAGATAAACGAGGAGAACGGCACGGATCGGCTCGAGCTGCGCGCCACGTCTCAGGTAAAACGTCAGCTCTCCATATTTTCCGGCCGGGGCTTGTCGTATTGCCGCGCGCGCGCGCGCCAGTGTTTAAACGTTGTCCCGTCGCGGTCATCCGTTATGCGGGATTCCGGAACGCACGTCCGACAAAAGACGAAAAAGTGGAGAAAGAAAAATTCCAAGATCCATCTGCGCATATGTGTGTGTGTGTGTGTGTGTATGTAATAAAAATATCGTAGCTCGACGTTACGTCTCCGAATATTTTACCTCGCGCGACGTACGCTGGGGGGAGGAAGGAGGGGGCGCGTCGTTGCAGTAAGGACGAATCGTCGAAAATACTGGCTGTCGTACAGTCGAGACTCGCAGAACTCGCAAGATTCCCGTGCACTTTGACGTTTAATCTCGTTACGGTCGAGGACTTTCCTTGTTCCTTTCGTCTGAAAAATTCTCGGATGATCTCGGACGCGCATCGCATATTTGCTCGTGTTTTGTGGTTTTTCGAGTCGATGAATCGGTCGGTTGTTTCTCTTACTTTAGGCGAAATATCGCGCGAGGTACAAGCGCCGCGTCCTCCTCCGACCTCCATGGAGGTCAGGGGAGCGCATGTTAATCCTTTGGTTTGACTAACCGATACGTAAACGCGAGTCGGAGCCATCGGTTGAACCGGAGCAAATACCGGATATCATACGTGGGCGGGGGAGAAGAGCGGCGAGGGGAAGCCGGTCAATATCTCAAGAATTCGCGCTAACTCCGGCAGATTTAATTGATTAATGCGTCCACGTGTTCGTATATTCGCACCAAATGGAGAGAATCAATCGAACCTGGTCTTTGGGTCGAGCGCGCCAAAATAGAACACTCCGTAAAGCAACGTAAGTGACTATGCATGTGCTGCATGGCGTAGAAATAGCGATTACGTGAAATCGAGCACAAGTGGGAACTCTCGACCGAGGAATCCTCCTTTGAACCGGAATTAATATTCACGATATAGCGGCGACCTCGTGGATGTAAAGTTTCGCTCGACGAGATCGGGAATTCGACCGATTGTTGACGAACAACGACATCCGACTCGAAAGTCGCGCGCGCGCGCGAGCGAGCGAGCGATGAGAGTTATAAAGTTCCATTGATTTCCCAATCCCGCCTTCTTCCTCTTTTCGATTTAATATCGGAGCTGCGTTGTCTCTTTCTCGCTCGTCTCGTACGACGTTCGAGAACAAGTCAAAGGTAAAACGGGAACGGAGGAGGGGGAGGAGAGGCTTACGTCGGCGTGAGGCGACGTACGACGGGACTGAAACAACGGGATGAAATTGATATGTGATTTTAACAAAATGCAATACGCACGCGAATCGAGGGAAATTAACTGAAATCATTGCAAATGAATAACATTTAACGTTGATTGATTACGCGTCATTATTAGAATTCAATGGAATCAAATTAAATTGCATAAATTTTCGACGATGTTTCGGAATTTCGTTAACACGCCGGCTCTCGGCTTGGCGGAAACCAAAACGCGCGACGACTCGAAAACCGGCCGCGCGCTTCGAGTGATTTTCCTTTTGCGCACTGGCGCGTGTGTAAAATTGAATATTTCGCGACACTCGACGTTAAGTACGCCGTCGCGTTCGCAGCTACCGACAGCCAATCTTTATTCAAAAGCCTTGTCAAATAAAAAACATGAGTCGCGCAACAGGTACTTCACGTCCGCTGCAGCTTTCTTAACACGCACCAGGCTACTCCATTATTTCTGAAAATTTCTTGCCCCCTCGTATCGACAGCGACGAGCAAGAGGATCAATAAATGGCGATGAGGGTGTCGGATAACGGATTATCCTCATAAATAATTTTCTTTGACCGCTTATATCACGCTTGTGATATTATCCTCATATCGTTGCGATATCGGAAAGAGAAGAACGTTGAGCGAACGATTACGTTCGGCGAACGTTGGCAGATGAAATTTCGATCTCGTTACGAAAGATTCTCATCCGTATTTGAAACAATCGTCGCGAGCACGTGGTCGATACGGAGCCAATCGAGATCGACAAACACAGCGCAAACTACGGTAGAAAATGTGCGAAAGTTTCTGTCGTTTACGACTGCCCCTACTCCAGTTGCCTGCTGAAGGTCGTACGTTAAGCATAACAATGCCGCGATTCACGATAATATTGGTGAACGACGTCTGAATGAGGGGGTCGACCGTGAAAAATGGCAAGCTCCGTGCTTTGTTGAGAAATACGTCGAATCGATGTCGAGATATTTGCCAACGACCCGAGTAGGGAAATCAATAGGGCTCTGGTAAGGATTTTGATTATTTTTCTCTAACATTAATCGGGCCCTAGTAGGGATAGAAAGACAAGGGCCCTGTAAGATGTGTAACAAATGGTTTAACGAGTCCTTATGAAGCAATATTATGAGGGCAATAGCAAAAATATTATAAGGAAATATTTTTATTCTTGCTTGAGTAAAAATATTCCTTCTTTTCATTCCAAGAAATTTAGACTGTAATTTCTCAATTTCTTTATAACCTTGTTAGTATATAACAAGAATTTTTTATTTTAAAAATATAGCATACTTTACAATAAAATATAGCATTTTTTACACATACAAATCCTGCTACTGTTTTGATTAAAGTTCGCTGTATTTCAAAACGAAGGCAGTACTAGAAAAATTCTTGGAAGAGATTAATGAATGACGGCAACTGATAAAATTAATAAAATCTGTTTTTAATTGCGGTATAATTACAGTTATCGGTTTAAAATTACAATTATTTACAGTTTAGCATTTATAATTACAGTTATTTACAGTTTAGTATTTACAGTTATCAGTGATAATTGTTATTAGTCAATTCCGAATTTTTCATAACCCTAACCCGACTGCCATGTCTCGATAAACCTCAACAATCGCGTATGAAAGATGCTCCAGTGTTGCAAAGGAACGCGCGATTTTAATAACATGCGGAAAAATTTTTCTTACATCAGTTTTTGTTTTTCAGCGGGTCTTTATCACCGCGCACCGGCTTGAATTCGCGACGATCAATATCGAGTGACCCGATGTAATACCGCCGACGACCGACGACGACTGATTTCTTCCACCCGCGTGAATGTTTCAGGGTCCAAATCTGGAGCAAAAACTGCCATCTACGATGGAGAGCATCGTGAGCACCGAGCCGGCGTGTTCCTTGGACTGCGGACCCGCTGGAAATTGTTATATCGAGCAATCTCGCGGAGATGAAGTTGATGTGGTGATCGAGGACGACGACGAGGGAGCCATGGATCTCGAGGGCAATAGCGTGAACCTCAGGCGGAAGCAGGAGACGTTCAGGCAGAGATGTCAGTGTCCACTTGGAAGGGGCGGAGATCGTTGTCAGCTCGGTGAGTGATATTTGCCCTTATCTTTGCGATTCTTTTATCTTCTGTGTAAGCTTCTCCCGACTGTATCGGGCGTTCAGTGTTTTCGTCGTCCTTCCCCTCGCGAATTGTGACGAGCGCACACACATACACACGGACATCGGGTGACTTGCGAATTTCGATTTGCGAGCAATGTCTCGGGCGGTTTCTCTATTGAAATGGTATGAAAGCGGGAATGTTCCTTCGCGGAGAAATCACAATCGTCGAGTAACGAGCGATCGAAGGAAAAAATTTCCTCGCCAATTATTCCGCGCGCCGGCAGGAGGAGGAGGGGGTGGGGAGACATAATTAATAAACATTTGATTCGCGTTCAATCTTGAGTCTGTAAGATCGATTCTGGAGACTACGCGCCGTTTTCCCCTTTCATCCTCTACAAAAGCTCGACTCATGATTACGGTGAAACTAAATTAGTTAATGCATATTTTATGGTTAATTAAGGGACTCTACAGGTGAAGAAATATGAAAGATTAAGTACGGTCGCCCGGACCGATCTTACCCCGGGAACACATACAAAATTCAACTTAGGAACTGCGAGAGCTAACTTCGCGCGGACTTTTGCGAAATTTTATTTCCCCGATTCAGTCGCGTCGGAATATTTAATACCTACAATTTAAAAAGAAAAATTATTATTCGGACCGACGACATTCCCTCAATGTTTTTTTCTACGGCACCGCTTGTCCCGGTTTAAAACCCGGCTTGATCTATCTTCCCGTTTCCTGCGGTACTCTCGAACCACACTTTCGGAAAAAGAACTTTCAACGGAGGAGAGAGAGAGAGAGAGAGAGAGAGAGAGGCGCTCACATCGAGGTCACCGTAAATTTGCTTTGAAACTCGCTGTTCAGAAGAGAGAAAAAAAATAGAGAAAGGGGAAAAAGCGACATGTCCACAAAGGGAGAGCGGAGAGTGAGGTATCGGGCGTACGCGGCGCGCGTAATCTCTCATCCTTCGTCAGCCGGACGAAGGGAACGTATTCAGAAGCGCGAAGTTAAATTCCATAAACAAGCGCGATCGACACGAAGCAGAAGGAGGGGAGGGGGGCGGCGACAGAGTCACGGTGAGTGATTTTTTCCGCGAAAGTAAACTTGAGATCGCGGTGGATGGTTGTTGGATCCACTCGCTTGAGTGGACGGGTGGCACGACGCGGTTGAAGATCGAAGAATCGAAAACTTGCTCATCAATCGTTCCCGCGTTCGCGCTTTGTTTCGTACGTGGGTGAGCGAGGGGAGGGCGGAGAGGAGGGCGTCGACGAAGTTGCGGCGTGCGAGTCGAAAGAGTAGCGTTTTCGCCCCGGGGCGAACCTCGAGGTCGCGAGTTCCAGTCGCGTCCGACGATCGGATCCGTTTGCACCTGGCTGCTCCGACGGAAACTCCCAGGAAACTCGGCGCGGGACGTTTCGGTGTAATCTCGAACTTTTAACCCTTTGAGATGCCCGCCACTCACAGCGCGTGCGCTTGCCCGTCCAGCAAATAACATTAAACGCTTTCGTCCTCTCTCTCCCATCCCCTTTCTCCCTTCCTCTCTCTCTCTCTCTCTCTCTCTCTCCCTCTCTCTCTCTCTCTCTCTCTCTCTTTCTCTGTCTCTCTCTCTCTCTCTCTCTCTCTGTCTCTCTTTCTCTCTTTCTCTCTCTCTGTCTCTCTCTGCTCCTACATCTCTCCCTCGGCAAGCATCTTAGGAGAGACTCGCGATCTCATCGGTGATGTAAATTGCTGATGGCGTGTACACGATTAAGAAGCTGTACATGGAAGGTGTACGTGCTGCACTAATTAGAAAATGGAAATTGCAACACCGTGAGAACCGCCACGGCGGGCTCCAGCTCAACTTCGGCGTGCATAACGGCTGTTATCGACCTGCGACTTATCGCTTGTTTTCGCCTCATTATTTGTCGCTTATACAGATTGTTTCGACCTATTTTTACGCCTTGCCCTGTCGGCCCCGTTTCGCTCGTACGAGGCGAATCGTACGAGCCGCGTCTGCGTTCCGTTCTCAATATCGCTGCAGCTCGGATCGATCGAAAGTTGATGCGCTGATTTTATGACATTCGCACCGGGTTGACACCTCGCCTCTGCCGGTCGCTGCGGACAACGGGCACTTACGGTGAGACCGATACGCGAGCACACACGCACACACCACACACAAACACACACACACACACACGTGTACGCGAGAGCGTCAAGTATCGGATACCTCGTGTGAGAAATTCAATCGTCGTCAAGCAAATTCGGCAGTTGTCTGCCGGCGGTGCGGCGGATAAACGGAATACCCGTGAAGGGGAGTGGGGGGGGGTGAGCTTAACACATGCGCAACGCGTATCTTCTTGCTTTCATTGTCCGAGTTGTATCGAGGATCTTTATATTTTATTGACTGCGAGCGCTGTGCCGGAATGTGCAGATTAAGCCACTCTCGATATTCGGTTTAATCTTGCAGAGTGGTTTACATTGCATCATGGTGCATTGCGCGGGATTAAGCGGCGGAAAAATTGCGGGAAGGAGATCGATGCTTTACAACTCGAAGTATGTTTTACGCCTCGGCTCCGGGCGCGCTTTATGGCGCAGTTTCCGTGCGCGGCGCGAATCCGTGCGAATATTACGATACGTCACGCGTTCATTCATCCGGCCGGAACGGACGACGATGAGCCGTTACGCGCGCAATATCGCAGTCGCTGCAAATTTATCGAAATAAAATATATCTTAGCGGCCGTCAGTCCGAGTCCGAGTCTGTTCTCCTGCTTTATTTTTCTCCCGATTTAATCTCGCGATTTATGCGTTCTTGATATTTATACGCTAAAACGTATACGCCCGCGTCACCATTCTGGCCGGTAAATATCTCGGGAATATACCATCGACCTGTGTGACCGTGCGAGCAAAATTATTCCATTACGGAAACGGTTTAAAAAGTCGCCCTCCGCCCCCGCCCCCGCCCCCGCCCCTTCCCCGCTCCCCGCTCCGTCGCATCTGTTGCTATTATATTTATCGTATATATTTATTATGCACGATGATAATGCAAAGCGACAATGCAATTATTGCAGCATTTATTGCGCAATTATTGCGGCATTGCAATGCTGTAGCGTCATTGTTCGCTCGCTCGCTCTCTCTCTCTCTCTCTCACACACACTCACACACACACGCGCGCGCGCGCGCGCGCACGAATCAAGCGTCAGCAATTTACGTAGCGGACACGTTGATTGCGACGTTTGCGTTGCGCTCGGAATGCATCGCGTTACGAAACTGGTTGTTTTATATTGACCCAGCGCAGGATTATTCGCCACCTTGTTATTCGACGTGGCCAAATTAAGCCTCGTCGGGCTGCTCGGAGCGGGGCGGAGGGGGAGGGGGGAGTAAAACCGCGAGGTGGGCGTTGCCCACCGGTTAATTCCGCTTGCGAAGGTTTAAAGCAAACGCGACCTGCAAACCGACTCGTCGTTGATTCCCTGAGCAAGATCTAACGAGCTTAATTTATTTTACCGCCGGCCAACTCTCTCAGTGCACCTCGCGACCCCCGTGCTACGCTCCCCCCTCACCCCTCCCTCCCCCCGTCGTCGTTTGCACGTATAAATATTTATCTTTCCGATTTTGTATGCGGCGAAGATACTTTCGTTTTCGGCATTCGGCTCCATTCGCCGGCCGCGCGCGCGTGCGATACGCTCGCGCGCTTTTAACGAGCACCGCCGATACCGGCACTCGTTTGCCGGCCAGCGTGTCGGCGCCGGCGTAGAAAAATGGACCGATGCAAAGGGAGACGTAACGTTTGTACAGAGAGAGAGAGAGCGAGAGAGAGAGAGAGAGAGAGCGAGAGAGAGAGAGAGAGCGAGAGAGAGAGAGAGAGAGAGAGAGAGACCGACCACGTAATAGACATAAATTAATCTCCCAGCCGTGCGATCCGCGATATCTCTCGTACGTGCTTATCGCCGACATAAAGCAATTCAGATCTCGACACTGCGCGCATGTATATCGAGCTTAAGTGATTCCGTATTTAAACGCGCGGCGCGGCGGCGGGTGTATTTGCTTTTCTTTTCGAACAATAACGCGGCAAACAAACTGGGGTGTAAAAAATAATAAGTGGTATATATATATATATATATATATATATCGGATGACACGAGACCGGAGATGATAACGCTCGTAAATGTATATCGCAATGATCCACGCGCGTCAAGCAACGTTCGCAACGGGGGCGCTTATAAAACAACAAATCGCGCGTTGCGGAATTAGAGCCGGCGGACAATGGGCCCGACAGCGCGAATGCTTAATAGTGATAAATTCGCGGCGCTGTTCCGAAATTAATGCGCGAGCGGCCCGGATAAAGCGTAAGATAAGCCGCAATTCCCCGGCCGTTGTTTAAACGCGAAAATAGTATCTCTCCGGCGGCTTAGCTCGGCAACAAAAATTTACTAGCGGCCGTCGCCGCCGCGCCGCGCCGCGCCGCGCCGTCGAGGCGTAACTTCCGGCCGCCCGGTACATTCTAATAGTGATACATTATCCGGACTTTTAATATTACAAAGTGCAGCCTGGTAATTCCGCATCATCCGTCCGCCATCGCCGAGGTGAGAGACGGCGGCTTTGCTATGATTTATGTCACGGTTGAAGCTGTGCGCTGCGCGATGAGCGGAAGAATTATTTTTTCGCAGCTGCCGCGTCTCTCTCTCTTTCCCTCTCGCCCTTTTGCCCTTTCCCTCCTCCTCCTCCTCCTCCTCCTCCTCCACCTCCTCCTTCTCCTCCATCCTTCTCGTTACAGCCGGACGTAAATCAGGAAAACTTCCGTGCCGTTTCAGCCGAAAGCGTGAAATCCGCGCTTTCCAGACAATAACGTCGTTACGCGCTCGTAATGTTTCGAATAGCTGCGGAGGGAGGGGGGCGGGGCTCGCTAAAAAAAGCAACAATCGCGTCAATTATCTCATTCCTGACTAAATTATCGCGCGCAAGACGTCGCGCTTTTCGGAAACGCTGGAAACCGTCGTCGAATTAACT